TCATGCTTCCGTGCTAGCACATGGCTTTCAAACCATCAGGCACCTCTGAAAGTAATTTGTCAGCACCCTCGTGTCCTCCCAGAGGGGAGCTATTAATCTGCGTGTCATCGGCATTTAGATGACATCAAAGTCCATGACAGTTGTGTTACTCCTACCGCTGTGGTCTGCCAGTGGGACGTGGTACATGCCAAAGAACCTAAAGAAAGGGAACACACAGTTTTGTAGGAATCCCACAATATTTTAAAAGTTTCTGTCCTTTCTTGTCCCCTGTTTAATTTAAGGATCTCTTTCCACAAACCCACTGTTTATGATTTTCTCTCTTGTGCAAACAGAAGTGTGGAAACACTTCATATTTGCGGATGCCGGACTCCTTCAAACCCACAGGGAAAGTTATTGTCTAGTGGAAGTAGTATTTAATATTTACAGTATGATAAACACACAGTAGCAGTAGAGTTTATAGACATCAAGCTGAATATTAATTTACTCATCCCATAAAGCACCTGTGCTTATCTACTCTAGGTGCTTTCTGCCTTGTGAGGCACTGCAATACGCTCCTTCGTGTGTGCAGGTAGGACTTCATGCTCAATACCGCAGGACCGTAGGGGAGCCCAGCCAGAAAAGCACGGAAATGTTTTAATTCCCGATAAGCAGATACGGTCCCACCATAAATGATGGGACCAGCAAATTAGATTTGAGGACATGGAAAAGGACATTAGATGTTTTCTTGATACACTTGTATCATGTACAGACATACAAGGGCTGACTTGAAATTCATCGACTTGACCTACCAGAGAACTTTAAAGAATGGGTGTGAATGTGGGCTGTGCCTTTTGTGAAATGTCCTGTAAACATTTGTTCCAGTACATTTGATTCTCAATTTACAATGAAGAAGGATTCATTCATCTGAAGAGAGATTGCTTAATGGCCTCTATACAGCCAGAACTTTTATTAATATAATGGTGTCAGATTTCATTTGAAGGGCATTCGGAGCTGCTAAGCAGTTGAAGAAGTGGCATTTCAAATAAAAATGTATTTCTGTTCTTATGGCTAGTATTAAATTTTGTAGTGACTTTCCAGTCATTTACAACTCCCATGAAATGGCCAAATGTAGGCTTTATAGAACAGAGCAGCTTCTTTAATTTGTTTGGCCTTTAATGTTTGCAAAATACATGTGTCAGTATTTTGTCTAAGTGTTAGTGGGACTCTAGGTATTTTCCCCTCCTGTGAAAAAGAATCCATGGCAGAAATAAGATAATTAGTCTTGTTACAGCTTGACATGTGTGGTGAATCAGACATATGTATGTTGTCCTATTTATTTGCTCTATAAATTAAAATAATGTCAAATATACATAATACACATGCATATAAAAACATGTGCATATGATTATACCTATATATAATATTCCAAGCTTGTCTTGGGGTGAGGCCAGGGAAAATCACAACGTCTGACTGTTAGGAAAGCTCCTTCCCCCAGCTGTGTGGCTCTAGGGTTTTACATGCCCAGAGGACATTTTTGATGATCCTTTCAGTGACTGCAACTGGCGTGGCTCTTTCCCAGTTACCCTTTCCCAGTTACACTGTCAGCAGTTTCTCATTTGGGGGCTTACAATGGGCCTCCCAACAAAATACAGGGCTGCATCTTTGAAAATGAATCATTGAATTCCTGCAGAAAGTCCAGTTGAGGGTGTTTGTAGAAATAATGCTTAAAAGTGCTCTTGCAGGCAGATGCCGGTCCTGTGAGTCTTTTCATGACAGCTTTCCCAGGGACCCCGAGCTTTGGTTTCATTCTCCGTGCCATCCTTGAGAACACAGAGTTCCTGTGAAGTCTGTTGAAATAGCTTAACACCAGGAGTGTCTCGTGTAGCTGCTTTTCTTCCTCTTCTTCCCCTTTTTCTGGCCCTACTCGTGCCCATGTTTCAGTGCTGCTAATTCACAAGGTTATTTTCTTTCATCCAGATCAGGGGCAGGGAGGAAAAAGCCACTGGACTTAATATATAAGGGGCTAATATTACCTGTAGCATCTTCAGCCTTCCTTGGGCTCTTGTCTCAGATGGCATGGAATTAAATAGTTACTATTAAAGATTAATAAGGGTTCACAGATGGTTATCAAGTGTTTACAATTGTGTTAGAGAGAAAATCTTCAGTATCATTTCCAATATTTTTGTGGTATTGTGACGAAGTATTTAATTTCCATCAGTAGTAGAATATTCTGTTAAACAGAATTGACTGTGTTAAATATGCAACTGTACACACAGAGCCTTTCTTGTTTCCAGTGAACACCTTCAATAGGAAGAATAACAGGACTGTGTTTCAGGATCTCAGTGGGAAGGGTTTGGCAAGAGTTTATCGTGGAGTTTTATAGGCATAATCAGATTAAACAAACAACGTGAGTAAATAGATTGAAGTCTAGTAAAAAGGACTGGGTGCTGTGACATCCGCATTTGTCCACTGTGAGGGTAGAAACCCAGAACACAGGCCTGATTCCCAAGGTTATTTTAAAATAGAATGTATTCTTCTCTGCACTCAGTCTTAACCACCGCAGCCAACACCGCTATTTGAAGCATCTTCCCACTGTAACCAGGCTAAGCATAGAGTTTGTGTACATCTATTTTATAATCTTAATTACCGATCTCTGCCCTCTCCTGTTTTGTAGGTTCTGTGTGGTAAATTTTCTAGAAAGTAGTGCCTGCCTTACGTTGAACTTAAATGGCCCATCAGGGACTTTGTGTGTGCGAATGAAGGTCAGTAGTTTGGAAGAGCGCATAGTCAAATCCTGTTACTTACCAAATGGCAGGAGGAGTTCTGCCCTTGGGCAGCACTGTGTTACTGGCAACATTTTAGACATTCAGAAACTTTGCTTCCCAAAAGGAAACCAGATTTCTGAGGAGAAATCCAGGAGGAATTGCCATAAGCCTGAGGAGTTGTGTAGGAAATTCATTTGTAATCCAAAGTGCCGATGAAGACATAAATTCAGTCTCATTGTCTAAACTGAGAAAGCATGTGTTTTGATAACCTGTTTGTTTTAACCGTGGTGTAGAAAGGTGCATCTTGATCCTGTTACCCTTCCTTTCATTCCATCCTCTGATGGCGTTAGACTAAATGCTGTCCGATGCTGTGTGATGGCATTAGACTAAAGCTGCTGTGGGATGATTTGTTCAGAATGTACTGCCAAACCCAAACATCTAGAAATCCTGAGGAAGGCCTTATTGTGTCTTTTTCAAAATCATGAGGTTGATTTAAAAAAATACAGATTTTATTTTATTTTATTTTATTTTATTTTATTTTATTTTATTTTCATCTCTTGTTTTTGAGTTGCACAGTCTGGTTTTCTCTGCAACCAGCAGGTTTCAGCTTTCACTGGCAGTTAAAACAAGCGGCAAACTTTTCCTGTGGTGGAGCTGGGGTTGTGAGAAACAGGCCAAATCTTTGCACTCTTGCTATGAAAAGGAGAAATGAAAGAGCTGCCCCTATGAGCAACAAATTTTCAGGTTTACAAAAATCAAATTCTTTTGAACGCATATATTGCAGAGGTGCGAGCCTCCCACCTGAGCTGGCATTGCATCTCTACGTTCTAAAACATGGTATTTTCCCGCAGAGTTTTTTCAGATATATACAGCTTTCGCCACGTAGGTGTATTTTTTCTTGCCTAATTAGGGACGGCCTACTTTCAATTGGTGATGTTTACGGTGGGAATGGCACATGGAACCATTTAGCAGCGCTGGCCTGAGGCATTATGACTTTTGGTTTTGAGGTCCATATTCTCTGGGATGTGTTTTTTATTAGAGCAGAAATATGATCGCAAAGGTAGGTATAAAATTATATGGGATATAATTTTGTAACACAGCCATGCTATTACTGTGAGTGTTAATTGCTTCATTCTTAACCTTCATGTAGAGCACAAAGTTAAATGCTTTGGCCCAGCCACACGTCGTCGTGGCAAACAGCATATAGGGGTTTCAGAACGTCAGATCTTGATCTGAAGCAAAGGAGTTTTTTTAAAATGCCTTTCCCCATGCTTGTTTTAGTCAAACAATACATAAATCAGCACAGTTAGCATTTAGCGAAACCAGCCCTGCCGTATGCAGTGTTGATTATCAAAATGGTTACCCTAAGTAAGTAAATGGTCATCTATTAATAAAATAAAAGCCTGCCTGAATCTGATATTTAATGAAACCAGAACGGATGATACCAGACCTTCAACAGGCCTTTGGTCCTTCAGGTCTGCGCCATAATCCCCACAAAGGCACATTTATACGGCCTGCAAATGCCGTATAGATTGGCACTTGCTGGCTGTAACAGCAGAACTGTCACACAGATAGGCTGAGAAGCTTTCATGAATACTTTTTAAATTTTGATTTTGAGCCTCTGATCTCTGTGCAGGCTTGAAAAACATACTTCATAGGGTATTTGAAAGATGGCTCTTTATCTGAAGAAAAGTTTACCTTGATAAAATGAGTGATTTGAGCGCATCCCTGCAGAGTTGGGGGAGTTGAAGGTGCTCACCCTTCAGATAGGATCAGGAAGAGCTACGAGAGCTGATGGCTCAGGCCTTAGGACATGAATTCGGGCTGAGATATGGACACTGCTACCTCTGTTTTAGGCAAAACATGCAGTGACAACTAAGGAATCGAATATGTGTATTTATTCTTTTAAGGCTAATGTTGTTTGCCTGGGCAACGTAAGCAATTTTTTGAAATGGACTGAAACGTACTCCTCCATATTCTTCTGTGGTTTAAGACTTGCAAATTGTGCAGTGATTATACAAAATTATCCAGTGATTGGTTAGGAGGTACAGATTTCTCTCCACCAGATTTACACTCTTGTCCTGCTTGTATAATGAGGAAGTAAGAGAAACTTAGCAGTCTGTAAGATTTCTGGATTTATAAAAGCACTTATCTTGTCACGTAAGCCACGTAACTGAGCACCGTAACAGACTGTATGTATGATTACCCAGAAGTTGTCACTGAGTACCAAACCTCTCTGTCCTCCTTTCCAGAATGATGAAGTCCTCTGTACATACGGAAGAAGATGACTTTGTGCCAGAGCTTCAGAGAAGCATCCATCCCAGAGAGAGGCCAGACTGGGAGGAGACTCTCAGCGCTATGGTAAAACACCTTGTTGCGTTTTCTATATGCATTATTTTCGGTTTTGAACAATCTACTCTTATATTCTAGTTACGCATTGATTTATATTCCCTGAGTTTCAGATTTTTAAATGGATTGCATAGTACTTTCAACAAGACGAAAATACTTTCCTTCCTCTGGCAGTTTGTCAAGGAGAGGGAGAAGGAGCATGCATAACGCTTCTGCCCTATTAATATGTGCCCCAAAGCAGGTCTAGTAACCAATTAAAGTGTCCATAATGTCACAACGATTTTCAGTCTGCATTAACCTCTTTTTCAGCAAGGCTTTTGAGCATGAAGGGAACTTCTTGTAAAAACATGCTCTTTGAAGCATGCAGCATTGTGGAAGAAAAAGATTTTAGCAAAATGCTGGCTAAGTTTACAGAAATAAAACCTCAGCCTGAAAGCTAACCTACCATCAGAGGGAACAGGATTTCAGAAAAGCAACTGCAGAGGTGCTGTTCTTATGCTTACAGAAGGCATGACAAGTAGGCAGTGGGCCACAGACAACTGTATTACCTTGATATAATTGTTTTCTTTTTAAATGAGCGAGTAAAGTACCTGCAGTTCCACTTTCTCAACTCCCTCTAGCATTTGCTGAGTTTGGAAGGTCAGGTGTTACTTATTAGCAGCCTAATAGGGCAATCTGATTAGGTGGTTTTGTGAAGTTAACTTACCTCAGTCAAGTTCAAGAAGCTTGATTTGCCTTGTTTCAGTATAGGAGTGTCTGGAAGTACTATCTCGCTTCTTATTTTCAGATTTTCTAAATCGCCTCATTAGCGTACTAAGCTGAAGAGGAAATTGCCTTCTTGGACAGACCTTGGGTAGGGGGAAAGTCTGAATATTCCAGCCAGCAGTGGTGCCCTTGAGGGGCGGGCAGTCCAGCAGCATGGCTGAGCTTACTTACCGTGATGTGGCACCAGTGACAATTTTTCCCTCTCGTTGGATCATGTGGCAGTGCCAGGGCTTCAGCCTGGAAAAGCCGTATGTTCTCTGCTCCTGGACTGCCGGCAGTGCGGCAGCAGCGTGAGAGATGGCTAGATTTACCTGGACTGCAGGACAGTCAAGATTCATCTGATGTTATGGGGCTGAGGGGTATTCATCCCAGTGGATTATTTGAAGTTCAAAGCACCATTAATATCTGGCTGGGTCATGTGAAATAGATTTTGGATTAGCTGTTCTTTATACAACATCCAGAACATGCGTAGGTAATAAACTCCCTACGAGCCAGGTATTTATTTTAATTTTAAACAGGGGAACAAAGGTAAGCACTATGCTTTACTCTCTTAAAAGCATCATCAAACCCTATGTAATACAATGACAATACTTTGTTCCAAACTTTATTTTCAAGCCAAAAAACCCAACCCAAAACATAGGCTTCACCAGCATTTTTGTCTGCTGGTATTTTCTGTGCTTGTCTCTCTGCTTGACTCCTTGCTTATCTACTGCTAATTTTACTTTTTGCAATTGTCACTTCCTAAGTATGTTTCTTCTCATAGGCAGATATTTTTTCCTTCTCTGCACCTTGGCCAGCCGTTCACACTGGTGCCGCCTGTTTGAGAGCACTGTCTGTTCTAATCAGTGTTATTCAGCCAGCAGTGCACGCTCCCAGCCTCAGCGCTTCTTAACACCCTAGAGCCAGGAGTCTCGTGTAAATCACTGTTTGACACCGTGCTGTCTGTAACCTCAAGGTGTGTCTCAGGAATGTGAGTCTGTAAGTCAGTGTTTCCACCTGTAACACAAGTTAGCTGGCATACCTCATTTGTTATTGTTTTTTTTTCCATTGTTGATTTACAATGAAGGAAAGGTTCACCTGTTCTGGCTTGATACTTTCCCTGTTCTTGTCAAGGCTGTTGCGCTCTTGGATATTGTTCAGTGTTCAGCTCTACTGCAACCTACACGTATGCATAATGTTCCTCTCGCTGGGCTAACTATTAATTCACTTTTTAGAACATGTCCTCTTGCACAGCTCCATGCCAGCAATATAAAAACTGAACAGTCCAGGTGGATATAAAAAAGAGATTTAGAGGACGAGAAATGAGAAAATTCACATCTCGGATTTGCTGCACAATGATTTGGTATGATGAAGCACAGGGCTACGTGTAAAGCTACTGAACCTGTATTTATCATGGCTTGGATTTGTGCTTACAGTGTTGTTCTGACCTCGTGGCCCTCTGAATACATTGTAGATGGGTGGAAAAACCTCACTTGCTCATGTTTACCATGCTGAGTGAATCACATTTCCACTTTCAACCTCTGCCTTATGTCCAATCAGAAGGTAATATTTACAAGATGTAAATATTTACAGGACAGCGTTCAACACTGTCATTTTCTGTTCTCTGTTTAACTGGTGCATCTACTATATTCTGTCTTTCTCCTGATCATTTTAAGCCTGAGATTTTTTCCTTGCTTTTTTCCTTCATTTTGTGTTTTTAGCAGCCTCTGGCTTAGCCTTTTCCTACCCTACATGGTAGGTGAGTTTCTCATAGAGGCATAATACATGTAATTTTTGGTTAGTGATTGTTTAAGTTGCAGACTTCAGCTTTTGTTGTTTCTTGCTATTTCTGCCTCTGGGGAGTGGAGGCTGCAGGGGCTTGGAGGAGTTGGACATAGCCGTGTTGTGTTCTCCTCTCCATTGCTTGCCGTGGCAGACAGCTGGAGGCCCAACTGGGTGCAAGGCTTTGTCGCTTTAAATGAATTTCACGTTCTGCCAGGTGAGCAAATGCTGAGACTAGCAACACTATGGAGAGCTTGGGAAATTCTGACACAGTCGACAGACCGGTGATGGTTATTCATTTGTCTCTTCAACTTTGCCTTTGTACATGTTTTTGTACTTTGGGAAAAGGCGATTTATGCATTCACAGTTAGATGAACATATACAAGTCGTCCCTACTCTCCCTCCCCCCTTTTATCCACAATATATTTTGAAGTGCTTATTATTAATTTATATAAGTGCTTTGTTTCCAGAGCTTTTTCTCAACAAGAATTAAACTAAGGGTCTTTATAAATACATGGAGGTTGAATGTCCTCCTATACTGTAAATATAAGGTAGGGCAGAAACTCTATTTTTAATATTTCTGTCATTGCCAGTTTATTCTGGGCACCTGAGTAGCTTTCGTCCTTTGTTTGATACTACTTTTATCGTCTTTTTTACTTTTATTATTTGTACTTTCACCTGCTTTTTAAAACTGCTTGTTTCTTGTTTGTGGCTTAGCAGAAAGGCAAGTGATTTTGTATTGGAGACCCGGTTTGTTTGGGTACTTCTGGTGGTTCTTGAAACTTCATAGCAGTTATGAAATCCTGTGGTATGGATTTTGGGAACCAGGCTGAATGCGATGCAGCGCTAGATGGACAGACTTTACAGGCGTTAGATAACAAGACAGCTGCCTGAGTAGTCCTCAAGGACTCTGCTGTATTTTGTATCCCCCCCCCATGTTCTGTATTTTTAGAATTTGGTCATATTAGATATACCGTTTTTCTCACTGCCTCAGCCTCCTATTCCCACTGCGCCGCTGGCCTGGTGGGTAACCTTCACACATGCCGTGTTTTTCTTTCTCTGCTCCAGTTTGGAAAATGCAGTTGATGATATTGACTTTCTTTGTAGAACATTTCCGAGTTCTAGGGATGAAAAGCCATATTTGAGCCAAGTGATATTGCAGTATATGGATTTTCTAACATTTCTCTGAGATAGTAATGTTATTTTAAAGGAAAAGAGTATCTTTTCCTTGTAAGGTCCTGAAGAGTGCTCTATTTCTGTGTTAGAAGAACTGAAGTTGTGAAAGAAAGCCTTTATATAACATTTCTCATATGAGCCTACAAAACAGCTGTCCTCAGCCTGTCATTAACTTTAGCATAAACTGGTATTTTTACTTAATATTACGTTTACCTTATGTTATTGACCGTCTGACTTGCTCTCAGCACCTCTTCATGAGTTCAGTAAGTTGCAATGTTTTAAAAGCAGCGTGCGAACAGCCTCTCCCGCAGCAGGCTGGTGTGCTTACAGACACGCATGCTCGCTCTATCCCCGTTGCCTTTTTCTTCCATTTGTCTAAGTTTTGTGGGGAAGCAAGATTAAAACAGTAAGATAAATATAAAAATCTTTATCTATGTACTCTGTTGAAATTATGCTGTCACAGAAAAATACCACCTGCAGCTATATTAACCTGACAGGCACTGGAGATAAGTTGAATATACTCACTCCAAAGCTAGAAATAGGTTTTCTTTTGTGTGTGTATATATATGTATTGGTGAAAAAGTTGTTTTTTCAGCAGTGTCTGCTGCTTCTTTCATCTCTGGAAGCTTTCAAAAGATGAGTCCCTAAAGCTGTGGTAGGTTTATCTACTGTGAGATTTTTTCCATAGTGCCCTGAGCAAAAGGACAGAGGTGATCATCCTGACAGCTGGTCACATCCTCCAGTGACTGTCTGCAGGGATTCATTCATGAGTAGGTCACGGCTGGAGGTGACCAAGAGTTCTTCACCTTGAGGAAATCAGCCTTTCCCACCCCGGTGCACCTCTGAACGGTAGCTTTTAGGATCTAGACGTATGATTATCCGTAATGAGGTCATTGAGATGATATCAGTAGTATCCCCAAGTGTTACTAGTTTATAACCAGGTTGCCTAGAAAAGGTGTGATGCAGGAACCTCTAAATTACTGGTGGGAAGTTGTTATGAATCCCTGAATTTGTCAAATGCATATGTGAACAAGAAGGCAGGTGGCTGGCGGTTGGTACACATCATATTTTTCGGCTTATGCTGGGGGAATTTTCTTAGGAAAAATACAAGCCTACAAATGTTTTAGAGAGGCGCAGAGGTTAGATCCTGTCCTGTGAAGTCCCTGGAATAATCTTAGCTCTTGTATCAGGTCAGATGGATTCTGAGATCTGTAGTATTTTCAGCATTTGATACTAGATAAGGTAACGTACCGTGGCTCGTGAAGGTAATAAAGGCTTTTTAATGAGACCTCAATATATCACTCTGTTAA